CCCCGCCCCCCGGAGGCGCCGCCCGCGGCCGGAGTCAGGGGACGCGGCGCCCGAGCAGCTGGGCCGCGGGTGACGGGGGGTCAGCGCGGCGCGGCCGAGCGGGTCCCGGAGCCACTGAGATCAGGTGGGCGCCAGGACCCGGCTGGGGAAGTCGAGAGCCGGGGGGATGGGGGTCCAGGACCGAGGGGGGAACCCCGGGCCGAGCACAACCTGAGGCCCACTCGTTTGGCCACTGGGACGAGACTTGGGGCCCCTGAGCGCCCCTTGTCCAGACTGGAGTCCCCTGAGGTCTGGGGGGGGACCCGTTTGAGCCGCGCCCCCTCCCCCGTGCGCGCAGGTAAACAGGAGCGAGGACGGGGCGGGGCTTGCGGGAAGGGGGGAAGGGGCCCTTGGACGGGCGCAGGGAGAGAGAGATGGGGTGCGCGGGGCTGGCAAGGGCGCGCGGTGGGGAGGGGGTTCTGATGGGAAACCCCTGCCCGCTTACCTTCGAGAGGGTGTGAGGTTGGTGGGAGGGGGCCCTGGTGTGGGTGAGTGTGCAAGAGAGAATGATGGAGGGAGGCAGAGGGTATGGGCGCGGAGAGCAGCTGGACCGTGTGTCACCCCGGGGAATCTCACAGGACTGTGGGTGGTACAGCGACAGCGAGGTGCAAATATCAACAGACTTTTGACCATGTGCATAAAGGTGTGTGTGTGTGTGTGTGTGTGTGTGTGTGTGTGTGTGTCTGTTTTAGATTGTTGCACCTCAACAGACTTTTGACCATGTGCATAAAGTTGTGTGTGTGTGTTTTAGATTGTTTCTAGGACGTTGTACGAGATCACAGGCTTGTGTGCCTACACTCACTTTTCCAGTGTGTGCGTGGTGGAAGCAGACTCTTGGTGGGCTTTTCGATCCAGATGGACTAAGAGATTTGAAGAGACCTGGGGCGGCTGGGGTGGTGTGTTTCTGTGCGTGTGTGTATGTATGTATGCACTGAACTGCTTCCAGGCTGATGTGTGTCCACTAGCGTGGTTGTGGTTGTCTTTCTGCTTGTGTGTGGACGGGGAGGGAAGGCTGGTTGAGCATTAACTTCTGACCATGTGTCTGTGAAGGTGTGTGTCCTGGTGTGTGACTGTCTGGGGGTTGGGACCAGTGCTGGGACAGGTTGTGTGGACTGTGAATGTGGAGAGGGACAAGGTGGAGGTGGGGTGGGAGAGTGACTACGTCCAGCCAACCTTCTTTGAGCCAAGGGTGCTCAAGGTGGGGGGCTGGGGGAGTGTTGGAGAGTGGGGGCTGGGGAGGGATGGCTAAGCGTGCCAGAGATTATCCTCCGGCTGGGATGGGTGACACAGAAGAAGAGGGAGTCTGGCTGACATCCTGTCACCACGGGGCTGTGCCCAGGGGACTCTGCAGATGAAGGGGGCAGCTGCCGTGGGAATGGCTGCCTGCAGAAGATGGTGTGTTTGAAGGAGACCCCCTAAGCCACACGTGGCTGTGGGGAATCTGGGGGACACTGTGACTTACCGTTGGCCTGGCTGGGGGGACAGAGTGGTGCAGACTGTTCACAGCATGCAGCTCAGCCCCGTCCACAAGGTGATGTGTGACCTCGTGGGAGTTGTGTCTGGAGGCAAAAATGTGTGAATAATGATCATGGTTGTTGAGGTCGCTGGACTTGTGTGGTTGTGAGTCTGACTCTGGCTTGTGTGTCAGATAGGATACTGTATACATTTCCACAACAGCAAAAATGAGGTCCTGTCAAAGAAGGAAATTCAGATAATCTGCTAACCAAAAGGTTAGTGGTTCAAATACACCAGGTGCACCACAAGAAAATAATGAGACAATCTCCTCTTGTAATGATTACAGACTCCGAATAATCATTGGACGGTCTGTGAGTTGGCATTGACCTCACAGCACTGGGTAGAGAGTCACAGAAAAGTGGTGAAACTGTCAAACTAGCAGGAAACTAGCAAGACCTGAAAAAACAGGGAAGCCCCACTCTTCCGGCTCTCACGGTGTTCACACACACACACACACACACACACACACACACACACACACATGTTCTGTACATCAGACATACACACGTGTGTACGTGCAGTCTCTGGGTGGAGTGAGGAGTTAGGTGTCTGAGGACTAGCCAAAAGGTTGGTGGTTCGAACCCACCCCGAGGTGCCGCGGAAGACTGGCCTGGTGATTTGGGAAGACAGGGCTGTGAGAGATCACAGCCGTGAAAATCCCGGGGAGCAATTCTAGCCTGTGCACACAGGGTTGCCGTGAATGGGGACCGGGCGTTGCTGTGAGGATGCGTGTGGCTCTGTGTGACTGTGTCAGGGGACAGGGACCTAGTGCTGGGAGGTCGATGGTGATTGGTGACACAGTCACCCGATGGATCCCACCCATGCCCCTCAGTGTGTGTCTACAAGCCGTCCCAGGTGTGTGCGTGTGTAGTGCTGAGCTCCACAGGGCTATATCAATGGCCACTTTTTTTTTTAGATCACTAGGCCTTTCTTCTGAGGCAACTCCGTCTGGACTCGAACCTCTGACCTTTTCATTAGTTGCCAAGTGCCCTGTTTGCACCACCTGGAGATGCCTGCATGTGTGTAAGTGTGTGAGACGGTGAGTGTGCCTGACTGTGATTGTGTGTGGTAATGAATGTATGTGATCATGTGTCTCTGTGTGTGCGCACGCGTGTGACTGAGTGTGCACACGGGTGCTAAGCCTTTGGAGTGATTCTCTGAAGGAGGGTGTCTGTGAAGACTCCTCCTTGTCCATGGGCTGTCTGCTGTGTGCCCCACTCTGGCAAGGAGGTGCATGTGAAGACAAGTAAAGACAGGGGTGTTTACACACACGTGTCTGCAGCTCTCCACGTGTGTCTGTGGGTGTGTAGCTGCCCAGGTGAGAAGAAGGTGAGGGAGCGTTTGGGGACCTGGTGAAGCTGGGGACAGGCTCACAGGGAGTCATGGGGGGGGGGCGTATGTATGCACAGAAGTTTCTGAGCAGATCTTGGGAAACTGCCTGGGATTGCATAGGGCTGCGTGAATCTCAAAGAATGTGTGTGTTGTAGGGACAATAGATTGATTCAGTGACTGGAGTAATGGGGGTAAGTGTGTTGGAGGTGGTGAAGTTGGCACAGAATAGGACAGAGTTTAGGGCTGTTGTACATAGGGTCGCTATGAGTGGCAGGCGACTCGACGGCACATAACAACAACAGGGACAAGTGTGTGTGCTCAGGAAGACAGTGTGGAGGGGAGGGATTTGGGTCTGCTTTCTGAGGTGAGTGAGACAGGAGTTTCTGTGTGTGTTGGCTGTTCTTTCTGAGAGGAGAATGCGCTTTTGTGTTGGGTTGTATTTCCAAGAGGGAAGTCTGTGTGTGCTGTTTCTGAGACAAGAATAGGTTTGTGTGTTGTGTGAGGTTGTTTGGTGTTAGGTTGAAGTTCTAAGAGGAAGTTGTGGGTCCAGCTGTATTTTTAGGAGTAGAGTGTATATGTGCGGTGTTTCTTGAAGGAGAATGTGGACATTGTTTTATATTTGAAAGAAGGTTGAGTGTGTGTTACATTTCTAAGAGGAGTGAATGTGTATGTGTGTGTGTGTGTCTGTATTGAGTTATATCTCTGAGAGGGAAAAGCGTGGTTTGAGGTCTATTTCTGAGTGAATGAGAGGGACAGTTTTTTGGTTTTGTTTTGGTTTTGCATTGTATCAAGTAAGGGAGGTTGTGTGAGAAAGATTATTTCTGAGTGTGTGTGTGTATTGTACTGTATTTCTGAACAGGCACGTGGGTGTGTTGAGTGTATGTATTTCTGAGACAGGAGTGTGTGTATGTGTGTGCGAGAGATAAAAAAAAATGGGACAGAATTGTATCATTGAGAGTGTACAGGGCTGTGTTGAATTGTATTTCTGAGAGTTCCTATGTGTTAGAAGAAGAATGGTGTGATAGTCCTGAGAGTATATGTGAGTGTATTGAATTGCATTTCTGAGAAATGGGGTGTGTGTGTGAGAGAGAGAGAGAGAGAGAATGATGTTGTTGTACTCCTGAATGGATGTGGGTATGTTGAATTGCATATCTAAAAGAGGGGTGTGTGTCTATGTGGAGAAAATTCTGTTTATTCCTGAGACACTGCATGAGGGAGTTGTATTTCTGAGAAGAGGGTGTGCATGTGTCCCAGAAGCCCCCACTGTTTAGGCACGTGTGACCTGTCACCACATACACCCGTGTGAAGTCCCACATGTGGACCCCCTACCGATACCACCTGGGCCTCAGACCCCAGCTATCTCATGACCTGTCAGTGGGGGAAGCCCCAGCCCCTCTCTCAGGGGCTCTCGGCTCCACAGGGCCCAGGAGCCAGCATAGGCGGTCCCCGCGACACTCCCGAACCTGGAGTCTCCTCTGTCTCCAGCACCCTAGCCCCTCACCCACCCCACCCCCAGTTGTCCGACTGGTTCTCAACAAAAACACCCTGAGAAATGAGCTCATGGGGTGGCTGCCGCCTCCACACGCCCCGCCCCACACGCCCGGTGAGGCGGCGCCCTCAGTCCTGTCCCACGGCCCCACTTCTGGGTCAGAGACTCCGGGGCCCGGGGGTAGGCAGGGTCGACCAGGTGAGCCGAGGACAGTTGTCACGGTCTCCAGACAGCTGCTGGCCCTGTCTTGGTTCCTTCCACATAGTGGGTTTTGGGGAGCTGTCTCAGGGCCCTCAGGACAAAGGTGGACGTGGATGTTTCCAGCTGAGAGCTGGCTGGGCTGGGGAGGGCGTGGTGACAGGGGACCGGCTGGGCCGCGCATGGAGGCAGAGACAGCTGGGAGGAGAGGCTGGGCCTGGGGGATCCTGCAGGTGGGTGTGGAGCTCGGGGCTGCTGCGGGGGGGGGGGGTGTCAGTTCTGCCGGCTACAGTGGACTTAGAGGCAGCGGATTGGCCTAAATGGGAGAGTTGGCACTGGGGTCCCGCCGGCCAGGGTGGAAGTGGGGAGCAGGGGGCTGGCCTTCCCGGCCCTGACTCTCGACTACCCGATCCCATTTGTCCCAGGAGCAGCCATGTCCGTGCAGGTGGTGGTCCCCGGTGACCAGGGACTGGGCCCAGAGCGCCTGACCCCTGAGGAGCTGGTGCGCCAGACGAGGCAGGTGGTGCAGGGGCTGGAGGCACTGCGGGCCGAGCACCACGGGCTGGCCGGACACCTGGCCGAGGCTCTGGCGGGGCAGGACGCAGTGGGCGGCCTCGAGATGCTGGAGGAGAAGCACCAGGTGGTGAGCCACTCGCTGGAGGCCATCGAGCTGGGGCTGGGCGAGGCACAGGTAAGGGGCTTCCAGCTTCCAGGGGCCGTGGGGGGCACCTGGGGGTCAGCCAGGAGCCAGGAGTGAGGGAGGTGCAGGCTGAGGGTCGGGCCAGGGGGTGCGCCAGGCCGGGTCAGGTGGGTGCAGCCAGGATTGTTAGGAGTCAGGCAGGACAGGGCGAGGGCTCAGCCCAGGGTCTGGGACCTGAGGGGCAGATTCACTGTGGATGAGGTATAAATATGGGGGCAGCCTTGGGGCAAAGGAGCCACAGATTTGGGGCAGGTCTAGGGTTGGGGAGGCCCAGCCCTGGGGCACTAAAGAGGTACAGGTGTATGTAGGGACCGTTCGTGTATAGAAGGGAAAGCTTTAAGCCAGAGATGGCGTTCCCCGGGCAGTCATGGGTGTCATTATTCTTGAAAGGGAACGTCCCTTAGTGGCTCAGTTGGTTTGAGCACAACTACTAATCTCTGGCTAGTGGTGATTCAGAGTAAAGGGCTGGTGATCTGCTCCTGTAAGGATGACAGTTTTACTGTGTAACGTACGGCGTGGGCCTGAGTCAGAAGCCACCTGGTGGTAAAGAGTTTTTCATTGGGGGGTGGGTGCATGACAGGCACCCTTAAACCAGATGGGGTCCCTCAGAGCTGAGGGTCCTGGGGAGACTGGGACTGCACGGGTCAGATATGTCAGGTGTCCACTGGACCTAGATATGTCCCTAGGAGCCTCTGAGCATTTCGCCAGTCACAACTGCGGGTGTCTCTGCAGAAGCTGAATAGAGTAGGGTGCCCTGGCCTGGTAGGGGGGCCCCAGACCCTGACCCCCGCCCAATCTGGCCAGGTTCTGCTGGCTCTGTCAGCACACGTGGGCGCGCTGGAGGCAGAGAAGCAGCGGCTGCGGGCGCAGGCCCGGAGGCTGGCCCAGGAGAACGCATGGCTGCGGGAGGAACTGGAGGAGACGCAGCGGCGCCTGCGGGCCAGCGAGGAGGCCGTGGCCCAGCTGGAGGAGGAGAAAAACCACCTGGAGTTCCTGGGGCAGCTGCGCCAGTATGACCCGCCCGCGGAGGACCAGGTGCACCCTGCTCCCAGGGCCCCTGACTCCCCTTAGAACCTGGGGGCTCCCAGATCATCCGCAGAGTCCTCAACCCTCCACAGAGGACCTCAGACCCTCAAAGAACCCCCAACCCTCCACAGAGATCCCCAAGATGTACAGAGAACCCCTAACCCTCTGCAGAGGTTTCCAGGGCCTCAAAGACCCCCAAAGAATCTTCAATCCTTCACAGAGGTTCCCACAGCCCCCCTGAAGAATCCCTGACCCTCCACAGAACCCCACAGCCCCACAATTTTCTTTATATTTCCACAGCCCCCAGCCCTCTAAACCACTGGACTGATAGGCAACATCCTGATAGATGAAGAAAAGATTGAAACTGTCAACAACTTCATTTTACTTAGATCCACAATCAACACCCTTGGTACCAGCAGTTAGGAAATCAGGACATGTATTGCACTGGGAAAGTCTGCAGTTAGGAATCTTTCCAAATTATTGAGGAGTAATGATGTCACTTTGAGGACTAAGGTGCACCTGATTCAGGCCATGGTCTTTCCGATCACCTGCTATGAATCTGAGAACTGGACAGTGAATAAGGATGATAGAAGAATTGATGTCTTTGAGCTGTGATGTTGGAGAAACATACTGAACATCCCGTGGACAGCCAGGAGAACAAATAAATATGTCTTGGAGAGAGTGCAGCCAGAGTGGCTAGGATGATAAAGCTTCACCTCACATACTTTGGGCATGTTGCTTGGAGGGGCTGCTGCTTGGAGTTGGACATGATGCTCAGAAAGGCAGATAGTCAGTGAAGGAGAGGAAGAGCTTCGACCAGGTGGACTGACATGGTGACTGTTGCAATGGGCTCTAGTGTGTCAGGAAGTGTGAGGGTGGCGCAGGACAGGACAGGGTTCAGATCTGTTGTTCATAGGGTCACTATGGGTCATACTCAACTTGATGGCACCTAATAACAACAACAACAACCAGCCCCCCAAGAATGTCCCCCTCCATAGACTTCCATAGGCCCCTTAGACCTCCAAGGAACCCCTGAGTCTCCACTCACACACCTCTATAACTTTGTGCAGATCCCCAAAGCTTCCAACACTCCCAAGAACCCCTTGACCCTCCAAAGAACTCCACAGCTGCTCCTCAATCTCCAAGGAACCCCTGATTTTCTGCAGATGTCTCAGAGCCCCCATCTCAAGCCCTCATCCCTCAAACTCTCCACAGAAGCCTTTGACTCTTTACAGAGTTCTGTAGTCTCTAGACCCAACAGAACTTCCTCAGGTGTCCCTGTAACTGCTCTATGAATCCCCTGTCCACCCCAACTCCCAGAGAACTCCCAAAGTTTATGGCTATCACCTCCTTCAGCCCCCTGAGGCACAGGACCTGAAACTTGTACTGCCCCTCATGACATCCCACTTTCTGTCCTCCCCACAACAGAGTGAGACCCCACCTCGCCGGGACAGCCTGGCCTCGCTGTTCCCCAGTGAGGAAGAGGAGCGGAAAGGTGGGTGCAAGGGGGCCGGGCTGGGAGGGAGCCTTTCTGGGTTGGGTCCTGGGAGTAGGGAGTGGGGGTGGTCCAGAGGATGAAGCAGGAAGCTGGGGGGCACTGGGCAGGGAGGCCAGGCAAGGGGCCATGGACAGGCTCTCAGGGCAGGTGGTCACACACAGTCACACAGGCCATGCTGCCCGAGGGTCCCAGCGACCCGTTCAGAAGCCCAGCTCTTTGCCCTCATGTATTTGCCCAGCTCCTGGCCACCCTCTGATGGGCTCTGAGACTGTTGTGTAGTCTGCAGGGAGATGTGTGCTAACCATCAGCTCTAGTGGTTCGAATCCACCAGAGGCTCCCAGGAAGAAAGATGAATCCTCCCTGAGATTTATAGTCAGATCCTGATGGGAATGAGTTTGAATTTTTTAAAAATTATTATTAAATTTTATTAGTTTTAATGAACATTTACAGAGATTTTGAGTTTTCATTCGTTCATTGTTGCCCTGTGAATTAAAAAAAATTCATTGTTTTTTATGTGTATTGTCATAGCTGATCTGATTGGTACAGGAGGAGATTGTCCCTCCTTCTCCAGCAGAGAATCTGGTGGATTCAAACTGCATACCTCTGGGATTGCAGTGCAGCTTCTTGCCACTAGGCCACCAGAGCTCCCTGAGTTTGAAATCTATACGGAGGTGGCTCCCTACTGCTCAGCACTGAAGTCACAGGCCACTAGCACTCCTGGCAGTGGGTGGCCGTGACCTTGGCTTTGGGCTTGTGTGAGTTCAGTCCAGGATGCAGCCTAGGATGAAGAAGGTGGTGGCTACTCCAGTCTAGGAGTCAGCACAGGGGTCTCCAGTCCCAGGGGCATTGGAGCATGAGGCAGCTGTAGCTGCCCCAGTTCCGGGGTGCGCTTGTTTCCGGGTTGGAGGGGAGCCAGGCCTGCCCTGACTTCGAACCCTTGTCCCCAGGTGCCGAGGCGGCAGGGGCGGTGGCCGCGCAGCAGGGCGGCTATGAGATCCCCGCGCGCCTCCGGACCCTGCACAACCTGGTGATCCAGTACGCGAGCCAGGGCCGCTACGAGGTGGCCGTGCCGCTGTGTCGCCAGGCGCTGGAGGACCTGGAGCGCAGCCTGGGCCACTGCCACCCGGACGTGGCCACCATGCTCAATATCCTGGCGCTGGTGTACCGGTGAGGGCACAGCCGGGGTGGGAGAGGGGGACCACGAGGTAGTGGGGGAAACTCTGCAGATTCCGACAGACCCCAGAGAAACCCTGTATCCTCGCAGGCGCCCCGTGGGCCCCATCACCCTCCGTGGGCACCCCATGCACCCTCCCTTCCACAGAAACCCTCTCGTCCCCCTCCCAGTTGTAAAACGAGTTGTCAGAAAGAGCAGAGATTAGAGATTTCAATGTGGGGACCCGGAGACATGGACTCAGTGAGATACCATAAAGGTGGGAGTATAAAAGATACCCTTTTGTGGGGGGTCGCCTTCGCTTAGGCCAAGCCCCTCCACCCTGTGGCCTCTCCTCAGGGATCAGAACAAGTACAAAGAGGCCACGGAGCTTCTCCACGATGCGCTGCAAATCCGGGAGCAGACTCTGGGCCCGGAGCACCAGGCGGTGAGGGCGCGTGGAGGACCGGGCGGGGGTGGGGGAGGAGGGCTGGGGGCGGGCCTCCTCCCCTCCGATCCATGACCCCCTGCTCGCCCCGCAGGTGGCAGCCACCCTCAACAACTTGGCCGTCCTTTATGGGAAGCGGGGGCGCTACCGGGAGGCGGAGCCCCTGTGCCAGCGCGCCTTGGAGATCCGGGAAAAGGTCGGTCCTATCCCTCCCCCTGCCCGCCCCCCCCATCCCCACTTGTCCCTTCCAGGTCCTTCCCGGAGTCTCATCATCCCAAAGTCTCACGAAGTACCTGTGACCTTTTCATCTATCACATTGGCAAGTATTAGGGCTCAATTTGAGCTCACATCACCGGATTCCAGCCACTTGTGGCGGCCCATTGGGCCCGACTCCTGACCCTTTAGAACTCACATTAGGTCCCAACCTGACTCTGACCTCCAAACCTTCTAACCCTCAACTGAATCTCCCCCAGTGTGCCTTAAGTCTGAAGCACACAGACCCCAGCAGTCTACTGGTCTGTGGATGCAGCCAGCAGCGCGCCAGGCTGAGGGTGCACCTTCTAGCCCCGACCTTGCCTAACTCCCCACTTTAGTCTATCATGGGACCCCCCACATAATGCCTTCTGGCATGTGAGCCAGCAGTCGCATGGGACCCCCATGACCCGCGACCCTGACCCCCCAGGTCCTGGGCGCCAACCACCCGGACGTGGCCAAGCAGCTCAACAACCTGGCGTTGCTCTGCCAGAACCAGGGCAAGTTCGAGGAGGTGGAGCAGCACTACGCACGCGCCCTGAGCATCTACGAGGCCCTGGGGGGGCCGCACGACCCCAGTGTGGCCAAGACCAAGAACAACCTGGTGAGGGCGCTGTGCCGGGCTTCCAGCCCCCTCCCCACTCCTGGGCTCTTCAGACGCCCCCACCATCCCTCAGCGCCTGTCCCTTCTAAACAGACCCAAGCGCCTGTGTGTGTGGGGCTCATGCTGGGGACCAAGGCAGGCCTGACCCCATTAGATAAAGAGGAAGACTGCAGAGCCCAGGAGCCCCATCTGTCAGATAGTGGGCCCTGCAGAGTCCACTTAGGATTGAACCATAACCCATAACCCATCCAAGCATGAGAAAGCACAAGTTTTCCCTCTGGTCAACAAACTGAAACCATCAAATAATTGGCTGAAACCGGCTGAGAACATCAAATATTTATTGTGCACCCCAGCACACTAGACGGCCCCCCTAGTGTGCCCCTGCAGCATCCCATGTTTTTTTTGCAACCCCTCCTGTGAGGCAGGAGCTGGTGCCACCCCCATTCAGCAGATGAGGAGACTGAGGCACAGAGAGGTTAAGCCAGTGGCTTAAAGAAGAACAGGAAACAGGTTCTGAGTGGGGGAGCCACCGGGCTGGAGTTACTCGGCCCGCAGATTCAAACCAGCTGAACTGAAGGGCTGTGAGGGGGAGCCTGGTTTCTGGCTCCCAAGGAGGGCCCTTGGGGAGCCAGGGCAGGGGAGAGACAGGGTGGGCTGGAGGGAAGGTGTCATGGCAAAGTCTAGATTGAGCTTGGACACCCCTCGCCCCCAGGCCTCAGCCTACCTGAAACAGAACAAGTATCAGCAAGCTGAAGCTCTGTACAAGGAGATCCTCAGACGAGAGGACCTGCCCGCACCCCTTGGTGAGTCCTCTGCCATGTCACCCACCCTGAAAGTTTTGCAAGGCCTCTCTCCACATCCATGTGCCCCATCTGTTCCCCAGGAGCCCCCAACACAGGCAGAGCCAGTGATGCAGACCAACAGGTGAGGCTGGGCTTTATGTGGCCTTTGGGGTGGGTATGGGGCCTGAATGGGGTGGGGGGATGACAGAGTACTGGCCCCCCAGGCGCTTCGTCGGAGCACCTCCTTCTCCAAGCTCCGGGAGTCCATTCGTCGGGGAAGTGAGAAGCTGGTCTCCCGGCTCCGAGGTGACGGGGTGTCGGGAGCAGCCGGGTGAGTGTCAAGCCCCCAGTTCTGATCCCTGTCCCTTCTCAGGAACCTTCCATGGCTCCCTTCTCCCGCTGCAGACCAGAGCTGATCTCAGCAAGAACTGGACCTTAACTCCTGCCCACCTGTCCCTCTTTGCAGGATGAAGAGAGCTGTGTCGCTCAATATGCTGAATGTGGATGGTTCACGGGTCGCAGGGACTCAGGTGTGGGTGACAGGGACACCTGGGTCAGGAAGGAGTGGGGACCCTGGGAGGCTGAGGGAGGGGTGTGGACAGCCAGGCTAGCCTTGGGTGCTGGGAGGCTGGAGCTGGAGCAGCCAGACAGGGGCACAGGGAGGGTGCTACGTGGGGGATGATGGGGAACAGGGTAGGGCATGGCGGAAATGGGTGGACAGGGCTGCTGAGGGAAAAGGAAGAGGGAGGTGGACCCGGGACGGGGTGGGCACAGAGGCAGTGGTGCAGGAGTGTGGCCTGTCCCTCAGCCTCACCTGCCCCTCGCCTGTCTTTGTCCTCAGTTCCCAAACTGGCACCTGAGCGAGGTCTCCCGGACCCTCAGTGCCAGCACCCAGGACCTGGGCCCCCGCTAGGACAACGGGACGTGTTGGCGGCAGCGTCTCAGGAAGCGCAGGGAGGGGTGGGGGGCCCTCTTCATCTCACTCGCTCGCTCCCCCACCCTCATCTCCTGCGATGATTAAAGTCCATTGATGTGGCAACAAGGTTTCCTGTGAGGTCCTTTAAGTGCCTCCCCTGAGGCACCTGCCATCCGCTGGGACCCACGTCCACTCCGGGGTCCCGGAGTGTGAGTGTGGGCCGCTCACAGCTGCTGCGCGATCTGCTCGATTCTGCGCAGCGTCTCCTCCGACTGCAGCTGCTCCAAGCTGAGCAGCGACAGGCCGAGCTGGTCCTCCTGCGGGGACAGACCCAACAGTGGGAGGGTGAGGATGGAGGGGGCAGCCACTGCCCCACCAGGGATGCAGGGGTCCAGGTCCTGCAGTTACACGAGGTAGGGTGCACCGAGACCAACGAGCGGCATCTGAAACAGGATACCTCCTCCACCTCCACCCCAAGGCACCCAGAATCCGGTCCTATGAAACAGAAGGGAGACCCTGGGGAGGGGGTGGCAGCCAAGGGCAGGGGCTACGCTCAAGAAAAGCCAGCACAGTGCCCTTCTTCCAAGATGTGTCACCCCCTCTTCTCCCTCCACCTTCTTTGGGGCACCCACCACATGCCTGCACACATGCGTCTCTGGGCCTAACCTTTGCTCCCCAGGTCTCACCCTTTCTCTTTGGGAGCATAGTAGGGCTCTGGAGAGAAATGCAAGGGGGCTGCCTGGAGGAGGGCACCTCAGCTCACCCGGTGGAAAGGCTGTGCCATTTGCCTCAGGAAGTACTTGGCCACCTGGACACCTTCATCCACCGTCAGGTTGAGGTTGGCATCTGTCAGGTGCTCCTGGATCCAGCGAGGCAGCTTTCCCCGCTTGTCCGCTCGGGCAAAGCGCTGTGACCAGGGAGAGTGGGAGAGAGGGCATCAGGGCCCCAGTCGCCCCGTGGCCCACCTCACCTAGTGAGTCTGTAAGACGCTGGCGGGGCAGCCCCGTGGTCAGTCAGGAGCGAGCTGGGGTGACACACCTTGTCAGCGAAGACCATGAGCCCGTAGTCGGTCTTGCCTCTAATGGCCCGGCCCACGCACTGGGCCGCGTGCCGCATGGCGTCGAAAGTCAGGAAATCGTTCTCACGGATCTGAAACTGGTCACGCAGATACTCCAGGCGAGCCTGTCGGGGGGCGGGGGAGATGAGAGGGCATCGCCCCCGGCCGCCCCATTCCAGCCCTGGCCACCCCATCCCAGCCCTGTCCTGAGAGAGGGACATGGGCCCACGAGGCGCTCACCTTGAGGATGCGGCTCTGGGTGTAGACGTAGGGGACCCCGAACATGATGACGGCGCGCCCATAGTGGTGCACTAGGACAGGGGACAGTGAGGGGTCACAAGTGTGCACAGTGGGAGGGGCAGCACTGTGGCCCCGGGAGGTGAGGGGACAGTGTGAGTGTACCATGAGGGCCCCGCTGGTTCCCAAGAAGGACAGAGGGCCAAAGATGGCCTTGCTTATGCCCAGGGGTGGGTGGGTGGCTTCCTGGAGGGAAGCAGGATGGTACAGCAGAGCAGGGGTTCCAGAAAGTTCTGTGCAGAGGGCGGAGGCAGGGAGAGCTGGGTCCACTCACCAAAGTCGATTCCCTCTGACACTTTGCCCCGCGCCACTGAGAGCAGGATGGCCCCTCGGCCGTTCTCACAGGCCTCCTGGTACTTCTCCAGGGCAACGCTGGTCTCAGCCCCGTCCTGGGTCTCGATGAAGAGCAGCTTGTTTCTCTGGATATTCTCGAGGATGCCCTGGGAAGGGTCGGGGAGAAGAGGGTTTGAGGCTGGCACAGGCAGAGATGGACGACACAGCCTTCCCGTTAAACCGGCTCTGTCTCCAATGCCTGCCTGGTCACTCCCCCGTCTGGGCCTCGACTGGCCCATACGAGCCGTGGGCTAGTGAAGTCCAACTACGCTTCCTCTGGGAAGCTCTGTGATCCAGATGGGGAGGGACCAATCACATCCTATCGTCTGGGTAAGTGGGGCGGGCATGTGTCCTGAGACGGCCAATCAGGGCATTCTGGCCTGACTGGAATGTGGACAGGGCCAATCAAAAGATGCCCTGAGATTTCATCTGTGAACTATATCCCCGGGTTCAGGACCAGTTCTTTTCAAGAGATGGTTCTACAGCAACTAGCTATCCATAGGGGAAAAATGCACCACAATCCCTCCCTCACCCCAGATCCAAAGATGAACTTGCGATATCTCAGCTCACACTGCACTTAAATATGAGCAAACCAGAGATCATCAAAGAAAACAGACTCTTCTTAGGAACCCTGAGGTGGGTGACATTTCTTAAGGAAAATGCAAAAGGCTCCGGGGCTCGAGGGGTGGTGAGCATACTTCCCACTGTGTGGAAAGAGCCTGATGATCAAAACGTTTAGGTCTTGAGTGCCTGCAGCTGCACCCCAGGGAGTGTCTATTGCCCCGAAGCTGAGGCTGTGTGTGCTCAGAAGCAGAAAGGGTCGAGTAGCCCTCTCCCAGGTCCACATCCTGCTGGCCATCAAGCGCTGGCTGTGAACAGTCATCTCTAGAATATTCCCCCCACTTCTCATGGCATCTCCAGAGCCACCAGCCTGGAAAGCGCCTGACTTCTCCAGAACCTTCCTCAGATGGCACAGCGCCCAGGCAGTCTACGACCCAGCTTCCCCAGGCCCAGTCGCATCTGCTGAAGGGACAGTTACAGGGGTAATCCAGAGAAAGAACTCAAGAAGCTAGGGGCTTGTTTCCTCTCCTGAGGGGTACGCTGTGGAGGGAAGGGCCACAGAGGCTGACCTGACAGGGACGCTGGCGGGCACACAGACGTAAGCCACGCATTCCTTAAACTACCTGTTCGTGCCTTACCCCCTCTGCTGGCCTGGGGCACAGACGTGCCCGTTCACAACAGAAAAGGTAAGAGAAGCAGCGCCCAGGGCCAACGGGAGGCTGGGCCAGGATGGCGTACCTGCTCGTACCAGGAGGCCACGGTACTCTCCATGTACTGGTAGCTGGTGAAGAAGGCCACGATGCCATCGGGGACCACAGCAGACATCTCCAGCAGGAGGTTTCCATAGTTCCGGATCACCGCTGGGAGGGGATGCACATGAAGGCTCTACTGACCCCACTTCCGGTCAGGGACTTCGGTCTAATGCCCTCACGCCTGCCGCGACCCACTTGGAGGACTGCTGACACGTATCCCACTTTGTCCTCTACCAGGGCCCCTGCCTCGCCCCCCCATCTCACCACATAACCCCCCACAGCCAACAGAACAAGTGCAGAAGTGACCCTATGACCTCCCAGGCCTTAACTATGTCCCCGGGATCTCACTCATCATGTCACACTGCTTCGATGTCATGCCTTGAACCCCGTACTCCAAAAAACGTGAGCTGTAATCTAAACTCGACCTGTGTTATGATCCCATTGTAGGATGGCTTAGTTATGGTGATGAGTATAAAATGTCTCTTAATCGCTCTCTCTTTTTTTTTTTAACAGCAAGAATGTTCTTTAGAAAGGTAGAATGGTAGGATTTCTTCTTGTTTACTTTGGTTATGTCTCTTAATCTCTTTAGAGATAAAAAAGAGATTTACAAGTGAAACAAGAAGGGGTGGGGGAAAGAGGCCAGGTCACCGGAAGATTGCCCGGGAGTAGACAGTAAGGAGAGACAAGGCCCTTCCTCCAGGGACGACAGGGAGAGAGGCCCTTTTTTTTTTGCTAGCGCTGGAGCCCTGGACTGGTGGGAATTTTAGCCTCAACTGAGGGAAGGTACATTTATGTTCGGTAAAGCCATCCACTTGCGGTCTTTTTGTTACAGCAGCACTAGAGAACTAAGATGCTTGGGGACGTCCCTCGGTGGAGGTTTGCAGAGGGAGAAGAAGCGAAACGGTCAGTCCCCCAACCACCACCGCTGGGACGGGAGGGATTTCACTGCAGCCTGGCCCACACCGACTGAGAATCTCCCTTCTCAGAACCCAGGGGTTACCCCGGGGATAGCATACCGATATCTTCTCGGGTCTCAAATTTGGAGCTGATGGCCACCTGGTCATTGCCTCGGCCGATGATCTGGAGGGAGTGGGAGAGACCACCATAAGCAAAGCAGTAGCTCTGTCTCGGAGCCAGTCACCTCCTCCAGGAGCCCTTGGCTGGCTCGTTATTTGTATTGTCCAGAGAAATAAACAGAGAAGGGGAGCGACCTGCCTGAGGTCACACAGCAAACCAACAGCAGAGATGGACCGGAGCCCAGTTCTGTCCACACCCCTCACAAGCATGCCAGACTCTCGCTGATCCCAGCCCAGGCTCCAGGCCAGGAGGTTCCGGCAGCGTCCTTGCCATCTTAACAGCCTTTATACACGGAGACGAGAACCTGTCACAGGCCCTCGATGCAGTACATCTGAGTGTGTCACACTGCAGGATCACCAGGAAAAGGTCCGGTGGTAGAAAAGGCCCTGAGATCTGGTAAAAGCGGCTGTTTGTTGTTGTTATGCGCCGTCGAGTCGCCCACGACTCATAGCGACCCTATGCACAACAGCCCTAAACCCTGCTCTGTCCTGTGCCAATCGCACTGTTTCCGACACACCCATCCCGATTACTCCAGTCACTGAATCAATCCACCTCACAGAGGGTCTTCCCCTCCTGCGCTGTCCCTCCACCCTCCCAAGCATGACGTCCCTCTCCAAGGACCATGTCCAAAGTATGTCAGACGAAGCCTCAGGATCCTTGCCTCCAAGGAAAGAGTAGAGGGTCTGCAAAAACAGGATGGACTCCCTCGTGACAAGGGACTCAGTGAAGATGGCAGAGGGGGTAACATCTCTTTCTCTGGTACTGGTGCCACCAGGGTCCAGCACTGACTTGACAACCACCATGCCAACTAACCACATGATAATTAACCACCACACTGACCAACCACCACAACAACCCTTACAGTGGTTCCCAAAACGCCAAATGCTGCCTTTCACTTTGGCCCAAACTCATAGTAACCACCACCACAACCCAAATTTAACACTCTGTAAACTCTTTACTCCAATCACAATGGTTTTAAAACAAACCAAAACAACCTCCAAATGTAACCTGACCCTCAGTGCGCCTATGTTCGCGTCTTCACTGTCCGCTCCCCCACATCCCCCTGTGGGACCTGACAGAGGGCAGCCCATCTGAGAGAGGAGGAGACCGAGGCTGGGCGTCACATCAAGGTTACGGTCAGATAAACAGGCAAAGTCAAGTTGGCCAGGCCTCACTCTGTGCCAAGCCCTGGACTACACAGGGCTTTCAAAGGTGGTACCTCATGGGATCTTCCTAAGTTTTAAAGGAGAAGATTTCTTTCCTTTCTACAGAGGAGACTGAATAAGGATGACGGAAGAAGAATCGATGCCTTTGAGCTATGATGCTAGAGGAGAGTGTATGTCTTAGAGAAAGTGCAGCCAGAATGCTCCTTGGAGTCAAGGATTCTGAAGCTTCGTCTGACATACTTTGGCCATGTTGCAAGGAGGGACTGGGCCTTGGAGGGGGACATCATGTTTGGCAGAGTGGAGGGGCGGCGAAGGAGAGAAGACCCTCAATGAGACGGATCGATTCTGTGAGCGGAGTTGTGGGAATGAGTGTTTGAGATGGTGAGGTTGGCACAGGATAGAATGGCATTTAGGGCTCTTCTACACAGGGTCGCTATGAGTCACAAACGACTTGATGGCACATAACAACAACAACAACACATACTTTGGACGTGTTGCTAAGAGGGGGCCCATTCCTTGGACAAGGACGTGATGCTCAGAAAGGAAAGAGGGAAGCTACAACCAGGAGAAGATAACATAGATGAATGGGATCTTCTAAGACTCAAATCCCTATGCACATCCAAAAACTTCTCCAGTAGGGTAAAA